AAGCTCCTTAGACTAAGATGACTGAGAACCTTCACAGACATTTTACAATAGATTTTTCGTTCTAAGATTTTTGCTCACCAGTGACTTCATCAAAGGTGCTGATGAGAATAGGGCTCAGTGGAAATCAAGTCAACTGAGATTTCATGGGTTAAACACTGAGACAATATTGTCTAAGTTTAAAAGTTTGATTAGGTAGAGGACCAATAGCATTGTCTAGGTCCATGATCCTGTTGAAGACACTCCCATACTATACAGCTTAAAATCTGGGACTCTCCACTAATTGTACTTAGAACTGAAGAAGCTTCTCGGATGAGAGTTGAAACATTCCCAAGAAACCTTGAGAATGTTTCTTTCTAAGCTCCTTAGACTATTTCCTAATGTTGTAAATCTGCTCAACATTTGGCAATAAAACCCTTTTTGATTCTGATTCTGACTAAGAGGACTGAGAACCTTCACAGACATTATACAACAGATTTTTTTTTGTATTTAATAGACTGAGTTTCGATGTACTTTTTACCTGTAGTGTCATTTAATTCCAGACTGTATATCTCTCCACCAATAATCACTGTCACAGCATACCTGTCAAACACCTGGAGAAAACAGGGAACAAAAGTTAAACAAGCCATAAACAAAGATAAGTAAACATGCAAATGCAGCAGAATCGTTACAGCATGACTAAACAGAGTCAAACTGATTTATGAAATGAGCTGAGCACTTTCATGAATATTAGTTTGCAGCTGTTCAGGTAAGCAGATGTGCCATGTCTTGCTTTACTCCCCTTTACTCACGTTCAGGCTTCTGCCACGTATGTTAACAAGCAGCTTATCCCAACATTCCTGGTAACCTCGGCTCTGGACGTGAGCGGATGCAGGGAGTGTTTTACAGCTGCTGCGCTTACTTGAATACTTACTTTTAAACACACCAGAACAGAAATTGGTCCAGACTGTATTTGTGAGAACACAATACACAAACCACTTCGATTGGTTTTGCATGTATGTGCTGTAAATACTGTGTTTGTACTGTCTGTCTTTAGTGTCCTGTAGAGTTCAGTTACTGCAAGTATCACAACCTGTGTGACACAAAAGAGCAGTTGAAATCTGTCTGGTGTATGTCTGCAGATTTTTGTGTCATGAGTTTCCTGAAGAGAAAAATCTTGTTTGTATTTTGTTTTTTTTTAATTTGTGGTATTTAAACCTACTCACTATGGGTATGTGTTCTTCCTTTAAGGCTGTGCCTGTATAGGTCAGGAGCAATTCATGCTTTCCTGAATCACGATCACCCACCACGACGAGCTTTATAGTCTGCATCTGAGAGGTAGGAAAAACAATTTTTAAAAAAGGAGAAAATTGGGAACAAAATAAACTGTAAAGACAAGTAACTGAATCAGAATCAGAATCAGAAAGGGTTTTATTGCCAAATGTTGAGCAGGTTTACAACATTAGGAAATTGCTGCGGTGCTTCAGTGCAAACATGCTGTCATAAATTGCGCTTAAATAGACATGAAAAAATAAAAGTAAGAATAAGAATTAAAAGTGCTATTCTTACTTTTATTTTTTCTGATTTGTGTCTCATCATCATCATCATCACCTTTATTTATAAAACACTTTAAAACAACCACAGCTGACACGAAGTACTGCGCATTGGAACTATATAATACATTTACATAAGATATAAATAAAAGGAAAATAATTAAATAACTAATTTAATTATAAGAGAAACTAAGTCTCACTGAGAATAAGACAAAGAATAAGTGGGTTTTAAGACATGATTTAAAAGAGTACAGTGAAGGGGCCTCTAACATGCAAGGGCAAATTATTCCATAATTTTGGAGCGACATTAGAAAAGGCCCCGCCTCCTATGAGTTTCCGCCTGGATCTTGGTACCTTCAGGAGCAGCTGGTCAGCTGACTTGAGAGACAGGGTAAGGATGAAGAAGCTCAAAGAAGTAAGGTTGGGCAAGAATGTGAAAGCATTTAAAAACAAACATAAGAATTTTAAAATGAACTCTAAAAGGAACAGGCAGGCAGTGCGGAGAGGCCTGCACAGGGGTTATACAGACGTCGACAAAATTGTTAGTACCCTTCAGTCAATGAAAGAAAAACTCACAATGGTCACAGAAATAACTTTAATCTGACAAAATTAATAATGAATACAAATTCTACAAACCCTAACCAATGAAAGTCAGACATTGCTTTTCAACCATGCTTCAACTGAATTATTTAAAAAATAAATGCATGAAACAGGCCTGGACAAAAATGATGGTTGCCCTAGCAAAGAATGGAAATTTTAATTGAAGGTGTGTCCACTAATCAGCACCACAGGTGTCTACAATCTTGTAATCAGTCAGTGGGCCTGTATGTATGTCTCCAGGTAGTCACTGTGTTGTTTGGTGACATGGTGAGTACCACACTCAACAGGGACCAGAGGAAGCAAAGGAAAGAGT